GCAATTTATTGAGAAATGCTTTCTTTGGCAATTCAAAATATGGAAGACTGGACGGAGAGGCAAAATCCTGATTCAACTGTTCCTCCTTCTAGCATATCATGTGGTTTCCCCAGATATAAAGGGTTAGAATATGGCTATAGAGTCTATATATCATTCCTTTTCTCTTTTCCTATATCCAGACATGTAAGGCATTGCTTCCAAAAGTACATCCATTAATAGAAGAGTTAGCCAGTGCTCTTGCAAGAAGTGGCACCAATGCCAAGTTCCCATTGGGCGAGTTTTGGAGGACCAACTTTTACTCTCGTTTACATTCCTTTTCCAGTGAAGATTTACAGCTAGCTCTAATTTTCCTCAAGGTAATGTATTGCCTATTGTCATTTGAATAAGAAATAATGGGCATAACTAGAGGAACAACAGCCTAAGTTGATACCTTCAACATATCCTTAGTAGCTGATACCATTTTTGCAAGCCTTTTCTCCCACAGTTATAATCTTCTTATTGGGAGAATACTTTTTTTTTATGAAAGTTCTAGTATTTGGGAGTAAAATTATTTTTACTGTTCTCCAGTTTTGGCAGTTATATACCAATTTATATTAGTAAAGCTGAAATCAATTATGTTTTAAACATCATTTTCACAGCCTTCTATTAAATGTTTGTGTTTCAGATTCTTATACCCAAATTGAAGAGAAAGTCTGAGGTATCAACAATATTAGGAGAAAAGGTGATCACATTCCTGCTCAGAAATGCCAATTCCAATAAAGTTTTGAAGGCGGCACTCCCAGACTTGAGCAAAGTACTAGAACAGTTGGTTCAGAATCATGAGGACAAGGAAGAGTAAGTAATCCTTTGGGTATATTTTTTTTTGTTTTTATTTTTTCTTTGAAAGCTGTTAGTCATACGTAGCAAATCTTTATAAAATTTACATGTTCCTTTATTCATCTGGTGAATACAAGGGAATGTTATTAAACATACTTAGTTCTTCATGGCTGCTACACCATTTAATAAAGATAAAAAAAAACAAGAAATTTTAAATTGAAAGAGAAGCTGTAGACACAGGACTTCAGATTACATGGAATTGTTAAACTTTCTTTGAAACTGGACAGTGTTTATTGTGACAATTCTAGGAAAAGTTTTGAGTGAGTTTTAAAATTATCATAGTGCAAGTTATGTATCTGGCAAGTTTTAATTATATCATCATCAGTACTATACTGTATTTTTGATGAAGAACTGTATGTCAGGATGTAAGTGTACGAAGACTTGATTTTAAATGGACATTTACTAATGTCACCAGGATCAACATGACGTTTCATTCTGTGTATAGTATTCCTTTTGTGTTTACTTTCCAGGGAAGTCCAGTTGGCTGTTGTTGAGGCATTGATTCTGCCTCCAGGCACTATACAGTTTGATTCAGTGACTAAAACCAACATGGTGCAGAGGACTATTAAGCATTTGACAGCCTCAGATGTCAAGAAACTTGGCGACTATATCACAAAGCGTATAATGGTAAGTATTGACAGTTTGTGTTAATACACAGAGCTGAGGTGGATATTCTTTTCTTTTCTTTTCTTTTTTAAGAAAGATTAATAGAGAGAACGACTGTAAAATTGTTTCTTAAGCCAGTACCGATGAGAGCTTCACGCACCAAACTAGACCATATGCTGGGTGCCACACACAGTCAGTTGCTCAATGGGAAAATCAGAAGCATAGGAAACTTTGGGTATAACATATGTGATTGTCCTGTGACTTATGATGAAAAGTCATTTTAGCCTAGTTTGATGGACTTTAGATCTAAAATTGCTGCAGTAATGGGTAAATAAGGTAACAGCTGTGTAGTGCACACAATTTAGAGTGGCTCGACACCCATGCCACTCGGAAAGGTATCCAGTCATGCCATAGCATGTATATGTATACCATCTGTGAATGAGGTGTTAGAAGTAACCCTTTTGTTTAAGACATTTACACCAGATACCATCTAATCAAATCAGGCCAAGCAGCACCAGATGCTGGTTGACTAAGCCTAGCACCAATGTGCCATTGCAAGTAAAGCAGTTATTTGGTTGTTTGGCCCAGAATACGATTGTGGTCATTGAGGAGATTTATTCCCTAAGATGAGTTTGTTTTGAAAAACTAGTTATGCTGAAATAAAAAGTATGATGAGGTAAATGTATGTTTCCTGTGCTTCTAATTTTTTACTTGAGTAGCTGGCCGTACATATAGCCCAGAATGCGGCTTGGTTGGGGCATGGAAGTCCCACACCTGAATGGGTTAGAGTTATATGTGATTTTTTATTTCTTATATTAATACAACCTAAAATGTTTTTCCAATTCTTTTATAAACAATTTCAATGACATACACCAAAGATATTGAATTATTATCATACATGAAGGCTTGTCAGCTTGCTGTATAATTTCATAAACTAAAAAAAGAAAAAAGCTCACATATTAATTACAGGAAATAGGTCACAGGGACTCAAAAACATACATTTGACAGTCCCTATATT